TGAATAAGTCATCAAAACATGATTTTTACACTTATAATTCAATATTTCAAAAGTTGTCGTAATTAACAATTTTATAAAACCGGTTTTTATTTTATGGCTAGAATATGTTACATCTAATGTTCATATTTATATTTTGAAGAGTAAATTACACGAATGGTCCCTATGGTTTGGGGTAATTTGCATCTTTGGTCCCTAACTTATTTTTTTAACTCGGATGGTCCCTATAGTTTTTTTTGTTGCGCACTTGGTCCCTGTCTTACCTAAAAATACTATTTTTCCCTTGATTTTTTTAAATTTATTTAAATAAGGTGGGGTAGGTAAGAAAGGTAAGGTGAGGTGGAATGGGGTTGGGGTGTGTTTATTTAAATAAATTAAAAAATCAAGGACAAAATAGTCTTTCTATGTAAGAAATGGACCAAACATGCAACAAAAACAAACAGTAGGGACCTTCCGAGTTAAAAAAATAAGTTAGGGATCAAACATGCAAATTACCCCAAACCATAAGGACCATTCGTGTAATTTACTCTATTTTGAAATCTAAACTCCATGTGATGTTTATTTTGTCCAAAAAATAGTTTGGGTTTGTGAACAACAAAATTATCAACCACACAAAATATTTAGTAGAAGAATAAACAACACAAGCATGCATTTGACATAAACAAGACTTAAACTACATAACACTTTTGTGAGCCAACACAAAAGTGTTAAATCCTTCCTAAGGGACAAAGAGACCAAATATTACAACTTGTTCTTCATGTGATCTTCAAGCTCACACTTGCAATGACAACCAACTTTGTTGTAATTTTATAAAAAAAAAATTATAAAAGTTATGAACTTTTATAAAAACGTGGGTCTCTATGGTTCTTCAAGAAATGGCCTCCATCTTTATCTTGTTATATTTTTCATAAAATAAATCTAGTCTAAAACTAATCTATTACATAAAAAATAACAATCATAAAAAACTAGCTACTTTTATTACATACTTTATGAATAAAAGGATATTACAAACCATTTTCAACCAAATCACACAAAGAACAACACAAATGGTCCAAGGCTTGTTTATGCACTCTAAAATACATATAAACACAAAAAAAACATTTGTTTTTCTAAGACAACTTTAAGTGACAAAAAATGCATGTAAGTTTTTGTCACATAAAATAACAATTATAAAGTTGTCAGAAGAAAATATGTATGAACTTGTTTTTATACAAAAACAAGTTATCCATATTCTCCAAAAACTAAGATTTCCATAAATCATAAAATCTAACCAAACTTGCAAGGTGGCTCTTGATACCAATTGTTGGGTTTTTATTTAAAACTTAGTTTCAAAAACTACAATTAATGGCAAACGAAATACTTGAGTTTTATAAATAACATAAACATTTTATCACCCACCAATGATCATCTTGCAAGTAAAGGAAAGATTTAAAACACAACCATAGAAGGAAGAAATGGTAACAACCTTTGAATCACTTTGAGTCTTGTAGGGGAGGCTTGGAAGTTGATGGAGTGAGGATGAACCCTTGAGACACCAACAATGTTCCAACTTGATGTAATGCTAGTTACAACTCTTAAGCTTTAAGTCAAAATAAGATTATGACTTAAAGAGAGAATTCAAGCAACAAATATCTTGAAAGTGCAAGACTTTAGAGAGAATATGGAGAGGGGAGGGAAGCTCTCGGCTTTTGGCAAGGAATGTGTGATCAAAATGAAAGCACTCTCCATTATTTAAAGTAGAATGTTAATCCAAGAGTCCTTAATCATTAAGCACTTTAGACAACATTGTCCCCTAGCATGCACCATACTTTGAATACTTTTGATTAAACAAATAAGAAAGCCATGCTTCTTCTTTTCCCCATGCATGGCCGGCCATGATGGTGAAAAAGAGAATATTTGGTTTATATTTTATAAACTCAAAGTTTATAAGATGTAAACTTTGTCTTTGGCTAAAAGACAAAAGGCTTACCTAGTCCAAAATGGTGTACATAACTTATTAATTCATACATTATAAAATAATGTGTTACTTGTATTGTAAAATAATTATTTCCTGGAAATAAATATTTTCCCAATTTATTATAAGAGTTTATGAATATTTATTAAAATAAATTTCTAATAAATAATCATTTGTATCAAGTTGTTGTTAGTGTGACCCTTAGGATCATATGTTATTTAGCAATATCATTTTAATATGACCCTTGAGCATACTAGATCTTTCAATTTCCGCAGGAGTTAAGTCCCTTTGCGTATGGATGACAGGAAGGGAGAGGAAGTTCTTGGTTTAAAGTGGAGTTTAGAGGATGCTTAAGTCAAGGTGTAGATTGTTAAATGTGATTTGAACATTTAAAGCATTCTCATGGATCATTTGGTTTCAATGGAGCACTTAGAACTGAATGGATAACTTGGAGTAAATGGATCATCTGAGAAGGGAATGGATCATATGAGAAAGGAACGAATCTTCCAAAAAAGAAACGGATCATCATGAAATGAATGGAGCACTTATGAAGGGAATGGAGCATCTTGTGATGTTCCATGATTAAGATGCGCCATCTAGATAGTCGATGCACCAACTTGGAGCATAGGTGTACCATGAAATCTAGATGTGTCACTTAAAAGTGCATGCACCACTTTGGAAGTCTGATGCGTCATTCACGAGGAGGATGCACCATACAAAGATTATGCACCATCTTTTGCATAAGATGTGCCATCCTCAAGCATGATGCACCATCTTTGTGCAAGGGTGTGCCACATACATTCTTGATGAGCCATTGTATCCCTTGGTGAGCCACTTATGTTATGATATATACTCTGTATATTGCTCCAGATTATCTAAGGTTGCTCAGAAGTTTAAGATGCTCAAGGAATGCAGCATGATACACCACCATGATGGTTGATGAGCTATTAGTGTTCATGATGCGCCACTTGGGCATCATGATGCTCCGCTATAGCTCATGATGCTCCATCATGTGTTCTATTAATGTTAATATAATTTATCTCAAGGATGAAGGTTCCAGGAGCTACTACATGGTGGATTGTGATTAGTTGACATCTTTCATTAGCCTATGGATTAATATGCTTAACCTATTAGGGTTTTAGGTCTTTTCCATATTCTATAAATAGGGGTACCTGCTATTCATTTTTTTGTGTCTTGAACTCTAGTGAAAATGCAAATATGTGTTGAGTTGTACTTGTAACCTTTTCGTTCGAGAGATCAGGAATAAAAAAATATTTCCCTCCTGCCCATGGATATAAATCACATCGACCGAACCACACAAATATCGTCTATTGTGTGCTTTTGGTTTTGTGTTTTATCCACATTAGTTCCTAACAAATACCTTTGTATTTATAATATGGACACTTTTAGAAATTGTAAATAGACATCGGTATGTATTTGTTCAACCAAATTGAAATGAAATTATATCTGAGATGATAAAAAAATCTTTTTTTAGAGTTATGAAAAATAGACTTTGAATGTTTAATCATTGAAATCAATAAATTATAAGATAATATAACAGTACTGAAAATAATAAAAATAAAATAACAATAACAATAAAAACAATGAAAAATACATGTTCTATTTGGTCATTGGACTTTAGTGGACACCACTACCATCATTTAATGGTTAAATTTCGTCGTTAGCTTTGCTTTTGGTACGTTGGTTACCATCACGATAAGTTAATCAGATGAACTAAGGATATCAAGATCGAGATTTTACTTAAAATCGTTTTATGTTTTGCAAGATTGTGATCGTAAGATCGGATCGAAATCAAAAGATCATACCAAAATGCAATCATATTCGAATTTGCTCGCAAGATAGTGATTGTGAAGCATATATTATAATTAACTTGATGTTGATTAAGATGTAAACAAATGAATCAACTTTAATTTCAGAAACTTGAACTATAATTTTTGTTGTTACAAACTAGAAAAATTAAGAAAAAAAACAACTTAATTCGGAAAAAAAAGATCATTTTGATCATGTACAACTAAATGCATAATATCAAAAATGATATTATTAGTGTGTTTTGTTTAATCCAAGATTTATTGATGAAATGGTGATGTTTCTACGTCACTTTTTGCAACTTACATGGTTCGACTTCAAGTTCAGTAATTGAATTTTTGATACTCGGCTATATAATACAACTTAAGAGGTGAGATCGAAATCGTAGTGTAATCGTGATCATTTTTCACTTGTAGGATTTTAATATCAAAATCGAGATTTTAGCAACCTATTAAATATATATCGCCGATCCGTTAATATTTTTTATAATTATTAAGGCTATTAAGATAGAGATACGCTGTATTTGAATATTGGATACCATTATTGTTTATAATTAATTTAATTAAAACAAAATAAAAAGATTGAATTTAATATTTGTATCATTGTTATACTCGTATTTCGTGTAGTTAGTTGGCCAAGAAATTATTATTTGAATCATTGTTGTATTTTTACTTCTAATTACAATCGACTATATATCCTATTTAATTATATATTTTTTTCAATATAATAATCAATGATCTTTTGTATTATGAAAATTTAATATCAAATGTATCATAAACTTGTTTTATTCCATTTAATATAATTAATATAAGACGTTAAACATGTTAATACTTAATATTATATTTGTAAACGCTAATAAAACTCTTTCTGAGATTGTTAATTAAAAAGAAATTAATACGCTATGGCAATAAAACATTACAATTAAAACGTAATAAATTGAAATTTATTCTTAAGAGTGATTAAAGCATACAAATAAAAAGTAGACATGACTTAATTAAAATCGTTTAATGTATAATTTTGGAAAAGCTTGCTATGATTTCCGTCAAGCCAAACAAAGCATTACAATATCACGATCGAACCAGGAATACAAAAATAAAATAAAAAGAAAGTAAATACAAATTAAATGACCAATGATACCCTTTGACCAGATGCGTGTATGTGATATAGCAGTATACGACCACCTCAAAACAACCAACTTTCCAAATTTGCCCTTCAATGGTTTCTACGCGGAGATAAGATTGCGTGGTTGCAAGTATACCTTAAGCCCATTCTTCATAAACAGCGTCAACGACATCTTCTGTTCCACCCGGTGGCCGGGAACAAGCTTCAGCCGGTAACGGAGGAGAACCGCGGAAACCACCGATTTCATCTGTAAGTAAGCCAAATCCTTACCTAAACAAGTCCGAGGTCCGGCGTTAAACGCCACAAACTTGTAACCATCTTTGGGCGGTTCAAATCTATCTCCGGTAGCCGATAGCCACCTCTCCGGTTTAAACTCCAAACAATCTTCACCCCACACGCTCTTCATCCTCCCTACGGAGTATATGGAGTACGTCACTGTTGAACCCGCCGGAACCCTAGTTCCGTCTGGCAAAACGTCGTCATTGATAACGTACTTGAAATCCTCCGGCACCGATGGATACAGTCGCAGGGTCTCCGCCAGGGCTGCTTTTAGGTATTCTAACCTGTCAGCTTCATCGAAAATCAGAGGATCGGAAATCCAAGTGTTGGGATCGTTTCCACGTGAATCTTTTAACACAGCAGTCAATTCGTTGATTATTTTAGCTTCGATCAACGGGTTATTCATAACCAGATAGAAAAACCAGCTGAGAGCGACGGAGGAGGTGTCACGTCCGGCGAGAACAAAGTTCAGAGCAATGCGCTTTAAAACGTGGTTTGGGAAGATATTCCCGTCGACATCTCGTTTCTTGATAAACCTCGATAGAAGATCATCTGAAGGGTTTAATTTACGAGCTGTTAAAGCATCTGTCATGTAATTTTCGACAACTTGAAGGCTTTTTTTCAGTCTCATTTCTGCGCCTATACCAAAAAGCTTCTTCAACCGCCATAGAAACCCTGGATACAACAACCGCTGCAGCGTCGCCTCTGTTGCGGAATCAAACGCCGTTGCAAATGGGTTTTCCGATAACTCTAAGGATAACGTTTCCGGGTCTTTACCAAATGTCAACCCGCAAATGTTATCGAACGTTAACCGGAGTAAAAGATCTTGCAAGTCGACGGGGAAGCGTTCTTCGGAGGCTTTTTGCAAAATGCGCCACAATCTGGTTTTAATAGTCCTGCTAACCCACCTAGCCATGGCTTGCCGGAGCGTGCGTGTCGTGAATTCCAACGCCGCCGTCTTCCGCTGTATCAGCCACGTTTCGCCATCGCTATTGAATATTCCTTGACCTAAAAGATCATGAAACGCCGTTTGCCATGCGGGTCCTTTAGGGTAGTTATCAAATCGGGTCCGGAGTATGTGCTCAATGTTTTTCGGGTTACAAGTAACAGTATAAAACCCTTGTTTACGTGCAAAGAATGGTATGGCGATTGTGGTGGTCTGATAAGTCCCACCACCACCGGAATTTCGTAGGTTTCCGGCGATCCAATCATGGATCCGAGACCTATTTAGGAAGAGAACAGGAAGGCTGCCGAAGAAAGGATAGACTTTGGGGCCAGAAAGATGACGGGAGAGGTGGTGGAACCAGAGGAGGTAGGCTGAAGAGGTGGCTACTACCATGAAGACGATCATGAGCTCAGCTTCCATGGCGGAGTTTAATTCTTAACTGTGTATTGTAGCTTTAGTGAAGAAGGTGGTGAAGAAGGGTTTATATTCAAAGAGCAAAGAGCATGGGACTGGTGTAATAGAAAAGTTATTCAAATTTAGGAGAGAGTTGTTGAGAAAATACTTTTTTGGTCTTTGAATTTGTGTGGGGGCTCTTTGGTTGATAGGAACTTGTGTTTGTATGTTCATAGTTTTTGATTTATTTTAATTAATCAACTTTCCTTCCATATTTTTATGAATTTAAAATGTATAATCAATTATATTCGTGTTATATACTTATATATTCACCAAAAAAGAATTGTTGGGAAATTTTCTAAAATAGGTATGATTTGCATATGCAGATATGCAATGTCATAATTACACACACGTATAGCATCTTATTAATTATTTAATACGTTTGAGGTTTTTGTTTTTTAATTTTAACTAAAATATCGTTCAACCAACAAATACAACAAATCAACTATCGCTGTTTTAAATCTAGTTTACGACTGTTCAAATAATGTTTGTGTAAAAACCAACCTAAATATACATTATAAAACACTAATAATAATATCATTTTTAAAGGATACTATATAAATATTAATAGACATTAATAGACGTGCTACTTAGGAAAAGTTACAAGTATTTTGTAGGTGGTTTTCGGTTTTGGCTTCTTGGCTGGATTTGGGGGTGGTCGGCTGGCATTGAGCCGGTTTCAGCCCGATTCCTTTTAAGCGCCACATGTTTGACCGTTTTTCCCTCCATGTTTTCTCCACCGTTGCTTTCCCGGTTATACTCCGTGCTTAAATCACCGGCTTCCCCTATCTACTTCGTGCTTCTCCCCAAAGGATATATCTCCCACCAGCTCTTCAACGCCAATGAAAGTACCCTCCGCTAACAGGCCACACTGAGTATCCAAGTCTGCAATGTTCTGGAACCGGCAAAAACGTATCATGTTGAAAAGGTGGGACCAGGTGAGTTAGGGCTCAATCGATTCAATTTGCTTTCTTTCTTTTAATGTACACGTGACATCTTCTTCTTTAACGATTTTGTGTTTTCCCCATTTCTTTTTGTTTATCCTCTGCTCGAATTGGTGCCCTAACAAATTTGAAAATCCTTCGATTTTATTGTTCAAAATTTATAGTTTGATAATTCATTGAGTAATCACAACTCCCAAAGGTCCAAAAGTTCTAAGACTGCAACAAGTAGAACACCTAAAACTCAAAGATGATGAATTATTGATCAGAGTGGAAGCCACAACGCTTAAACACCAATGATAGTACCCTCCGCCAGCAGGCCACACTGAGTATCCGGAACCATCGAAACCGTTCGCAAAAATGTATACCGTTATAAAGTTGGGGATAGGGTAAATTAGGGCTGAATCGACTCTAAGGGGGTGTTTGGATAGGGAAACAATGGCTGCTTATTAGCTTATTGCTTATTCTCACCACAATAAGCTAATTTAAGTGTTTGGATAGGATGCTTAAAAAATTAGCTTATTGTGGTAGGAATAAGCAAAATAAGCTGATTTTAATAAGCAATGGGGGAATGCTTATTGCTTATTGGTCATTTTACTCATATAAACTGTTTTATTTTGCCAAACACTTAAATGCTTATTGCTTATTGTTTATTCCCACCACAATAAGCTAATCCAATCACATTTTAAAAAAATGCTTATTCCCACCACAATAAGCAAATAAGCAATAAGCTAATAAGCTAAAAACTATTTATCCAAACACCCCTAATTGTGAGTATTGAATATATTAAAGTTTATATTATTCATATATGAATTCTTATAAAATTTATTAACATTACACACAACCTAGGCCTCTCGCTATATATTTTCTCTTTCAGTGTGTGTATCTGTATGTTTATGTTTGTAGGTCAACAGGGGGGATAATGAAAATAGAGGATCCAAAAGATGAAACTACAGTTAAAAGTAAAAAAAAATCACATATGTATTCAAGTTTCATTAAATGAACTTATGTGTTCTCTTTAATTAAACTTATGTGTTGTCACACTTTTTTTCATGTACTTATGATTCTCAAGTTACTTTTTCCAAACTAAGGATTCTAGTGTTTCTGGAGAATCATTGTCGAGGTCATGTAGCGCCCGGTTTCTCGTATGCTAATTATGAAGTTTAATTGTCATTTTGGGTTTTCCATGACATTGTGAATGGATTGCCACGGCATGACAGTGTGCCGGAAACACGCGTATCAATAGTGTCTCCCACGGCATGACAAGTATTAGCCACGACGTGGCGGTGGCTGTTTGAGCTAAAACTTTAATTTTTGGACTTTGAGCCCTATTTAAAGGAAGTAGTAGCTAGGGTTTCACCCCTTATCAGCCTCCATCACCCTCAAACATTTAGAAACCCTACCCGTTGTATCCTTTGCATATTGTGAGCCTATTTTAGTGCTTTTAGTCATCCTTGAAGGAAGATGAAGGAAGTGTGGTGCAAGATTCAGCTAGAGATCCATCTCCATTCCTTTTGTTTACTCTCTGGACCTTTGGTGAGTCTTTTAGTTCCATTCTTGTTGGTGTTATCTTCATAGATCTAGAGTTTTAGCACATTTTGGACTCTGGGTTGCATTTGGCAGATAGAAGAGATAAAGTTTGCAACTTTATGACTCTTAAGGGTCCCGAGAATATTATATCTCATGGATCTGAGATTTGGTTGTGTTTTGACATCCATGCATGAGTTTTGGTAACCTTTTTACCCGTTTTGACCTAATTTGGATTCTAGACATATTTTAGGCATGCATGTCTATAAAGCACCAACTTTCATGTTGATTTTAGTGTTAGAAACACTACTGGAGAAGATGGACTTCAGATCTAAAGGAATAAGTGCTTAATGGTTAAGTTCATGCCTTATGGAACCTAAGGTTTGAGTTTTGGATCTTTTTGGATGGTCCTTACAGGAAAAGTTAGAAACTTTATCCCTATAGGTCATATTTTGAGTGAGATCTAAGCTTTCTAGCTTGAGAGGTTGTCGAAAACAGCTTAATCAATTAAGTTGTTTGGAACCCCGTTTCCACGATGTGATGTCAGGTCAACATGTCATGGCGACTGCGAGTCAGATTGCCCGTTTTGTCCTTTAGGGACCACGATGTGGTGAAGGACCACCAGGACGTGGCAAGTCAACATTGTCTTTAACTTTTGAGTTTTTGACCTTTTGTCTTGGACCAGAGTTTGACCAAGTTTGACCTGAGGGTATTTTGGGTATTTTGAGTTGTATTTGAGATTGGTCACTATTTAATAAATAGGTGACGGGTAGAGCTGATATTCGGAGTCGAGACCTATTTAACTATTTGTTCAGACCGAGAGGCGAGTTTCCTCCATGGTACTCTTGGGTCGCAGGCACCAATGTCGGCCCACTAGATGATGTTAGTAAGATGATAGTTGTCTTCGTGACAATTTCATGCTATGTCTGTTTATGCCTGTTGTCTTCATGAATTTCGTTAATATGATTGTATGATTAGTTGTAGGGGTGAAATAGACCCAGTACCAGTTGAAATATACCGAATGGGGTGAAATAGACCCAATACCTGTTGAAAGATACCGAATGGGGTGAAATAGACTCAGTATCGGTTGAAAGATATTGAAAGGGGTAAAATAGACCTAATACCGGTTGAAAGATACCGAAGGGGGTGAAATATACCCAATTATGTTTTGAATGTTATGTATGTATGTTATGGGGTATTTTGTGGGAGATCAATAAGCTTTGTTCTTACGGTTTTCAGTTTATGTTTAGGTACTTCCAGCTTCAAAGGGAAGGGTCCGTCCTGATCACACCGTATCCGCCCATGTTTTCCGCATTATGTGATTTTGAGATTTTGTACTCTAATGTTATTTCACTATGATACACTTTCAGGTTGTTTTGACATGATTATTGGATGTTTTGAAATGAAATTTTTGGGATGTTACAAGTTGGTATAAGAGCCTTGGTTTGAGGGATTCATGCATACACTAGGGTGTGTCTGAACTCAAACAGAGGATTTATAAAATCTTTTAAAAGAAAATGATTTTCTAAAAAGGTTTTCTAAGAAAAAGGGGTGTGATGCGTGCAATCAACCAAGCTCAAGTAAGTTTTCCCAAAATACCCATACATGTGATATGCTTATTGTTTTCGTATGAGTATATGAGAACCGCATCCTAGATTAGGGCTATCTGCTCAGTATTTGCATGATAGAATGCCGGGAGAGATGCCTTTATATGCCTGTTGATTGAGCTTTTGGAGCTGCATGTTAGTATGGATTTCAGATTGTTTGATAGAATGATCTGATTTAAGTGAGGCACTGGTTTAGATTACTTGATGCTCGAATGTTGTTTTCTTTGTGCTTTTAGGGACCTCCAATAATGTTGGCTAACTATTAAGCGAATATGTTAGGTTACATGTAACACCCGATTCAAAGTACCTTTCAGTTTAGACCCTTGGTGTGTTAATGTTTTGCAGTTGGTCCTTAGGGGGCGGATTTTCCAACTTTAGCAAACTTGGAGTACACTGGGCGTACTGGCTCATTTCTTGATCGCGGGTTTTACCCATGTGCGCGGGGTGTACATGGAGTACGCAGGGCGTACGATAGGTTGAGGCAAAACCTAAAAATTAGGGTTTGCACCCTATTTAAGCCTCATTATATCACCTCATGGACATTTTAGACCAGCCTGCATATCTTCTAAACTCTAATCTCGCCCTTAGCCTTTGTTTTGGTGCTTTTGAGCTCTTATGAAGAATTTTTGTGTGTTTTTGTATGTTTTTGTGCGTTTTGAAGTGGTAGAAGGAGCTTGAAGACTCATTCCTTGGAGTAGAGCTTCAAGATCCAGAGTTAGCATCATCATTTCGAGCCATTTGAGGTATAAAGCTCAGATCTTGACAACTCCTTGTGTAGATCTAGTTTGGGTTTGTTTATGGCTTATTTTGGTCCCTTTCGGTTGGTCTTTGCGAGTAAAGGCTGTTTCAGAAGCTTATCCCTTAGATCCGGACGTTTTAAGGGTCCCTTATG